CTTAGGGGTACAGATGAAAGTAGTTTCTGAATTTTACATACATTTATCATGACTTGAATTTTGCTCAATTTCATAATTAGAAATCGGAATTAGACAACCCCTCAGCTTTGCAGTTGATTTGAAAAGTAAATAAATTTGGAGAGTCATGAGTCAGAAAATTTGGATTTTATTTTGATGACTTTAGTTAGTAAGTTTATTTTAAATTTTTTGCTTTTAGTTATTTTTGCTTTTAGTTATTTTTGCTTTTGTGGTCCAGATTTTTAATTCTCAAATTGTGTCCTAAAACTTTCAAATCAGTTCAAAAGGTAGCAGTTATACGAGACTATCTTCAATCACCTTCTTACCTTTTAATTCCAAGAAGTGATTAACTTGTGACTTCTCCTTATAATATCCTTACATAAACCAGGTAACAGGTGATGAGAATACTCAAACTTATCAGGAAGACCTTCATTTGTGATCTTGATCTAACTCCAAATTCTTGTAACAGCTAGAAGGGAGAATTCATGATCAAATCTAAGGAGTTAATGAGTAACTAAGTACAGCACTGCTCTCTTGGAGGGTTGTGTGAGTGAAGATTTTGCAGTATGTCCTACTAACAGTGAAAAAAAGAAAAACAACATGCACGTACTTTACATGAGAATACTGCACCAGGGAGTTTGCACTGTCAGAAGGGAAGAGGTTAAAATTTGATGCTTGAAAAGTCTAGGTTTGTTTAATACATGTAAGTTTGAAATGCATTCAAATTTATAGCTTTATGAGTGGACTACAGAAGTCAACATTGCTCATAGAAATTGCAGCACTAATTTTATAACTGATTAGTTTTTAGGGCTTTTAACGGTTCTGTTTTATGTATGTTCATATACTAGATCTTTTTACATTGAAAAAAAATCTGTTTCTGGTGCAAGGTTTAGCAGCAACCTTGGTAAAAATCTGCTGATTATCATTTATTACACATGTATAAGACCATAAATTCTTTCAAATTGAATTTTTTTCTGCCATGATTCCAAACAAATCCATACAGGGCACACGAATTCAGTTTATCCTTCAATCTAAAACCTTAACTTGAAATGGTGTGCTGTTTACAGCATATTGTTTCTGAAAGGAATCTTTCTATTTTCTTATGTAGAAGTACTCCCAACATATCACAGTTTCAGGTTCAGATGTTTAGTCACACCGTGTTGTTTAGTTATCGCTTATGTTATGAAACTTCACTTTTTTTTATGCCAGAAGTTTTAGAAGAAAAATTTCAAGATTAGAATTTATTGTCAGTAGTTACTGCCATCCATCAAGCAATGGATGAAGATTCAACATTTGACCAATACTTTCAGAATGACTTGAATTTGAATGCATCAGTGGTAGTGAATGCAACTTAATTTATTTGTGTCATTCTCAAAAGCATGCCAATGTCTTGTGTTTACAATAAATCTTTTGTATGCAAGGTTAATTACCTTTAGTGCCACTGGACTTTCTTGATTTTGCCACAGTATGCTCTTTCTGAGGTTAGAATCCCACTGAGAGGTACTTCAGAATTAACTTGATGATAAAAGTTCCTTTCTGCCACTGTTGAAACAGGGCTGAAAGGAGATTACATATCGGTATTATTATTCTATGCTGGCTTAACCTAAGTTTGTTTGCCTTTCAGCTTTGCGTCTGTATCTAACATCCCTCTCTCTTTTGCTCAAATAATGTGTGAAATCATATGAATATCTAATAAAAATTTCTTATCAATGTCGCACATAAGTATGTAAAAAAACTTGCTATTTTGAACACAATACACATTTGAATTTATGAATTCTAATCTGTGCTGTTATATGAATAATCCCTGAAAAAAGACAATAAGGTCTATTTTAAGTGGCTCAATCACCCTTTCAGATTTAGAAACTATTGTTTTGAACTTTTGATATCAAAATCATATGCTTGAACTTGTTTTTCTTGTGGTCTGATATTTCAATATTTTGTAAGAAGGAATTTTTTCCTATTTGCTTGTTTTTTTTTTCTTTTTTACAAGTTCAAATTAAGATAGCCACAGATATATTGTTAGCAGGTATCATGTATAATTTATTACTGACCTGTTCCAAATCTGCATTTAAAATAACTGTGACTTAGTGGCAGAGATGTAAATATATGCAAATAAAACATTTCTTTATTGATTGGAAAGGAAGTTCATTTGTTACCTCTTTCACAAATGAGGATATTGATAAATAGTGTTTGAAGAGCAGTATGCCTTTTATCCTTCTTTTGGATGAAAGATATTTTTATTTTACATCATGAAGGAAGCAATTTGTACAGTTTGTGAGTCAAAAGAACCAGTTATTTGTTGTGCCACTTGTGAGGCACTGTATTGTGAAGGCTGCAAAATATCCGTCCATGAAAAGGTAACAGTCGAATCTCCACAATTTAAACTCTTGATGGATAGCTAACTTTTGACAAATTTCCTTGCACTTTTGTGGCTGCTGTTTTAATCTTTTCTCCAGGGTGTTTTTATCCCGGCCTCATTATTGATTCATGTCACACACGATGATAAAAACATGTGGAGAGATTATTCTGAACAAAGCACCAAGCACATGTTAAAGGGCTGTTCAGAGAATACTTGCATAGTCCTGAAAACTTAAATCTTTCTTAATGCTGAGCTGCTGTTTCAGCTTAATACAGATATTTTCTTCTTTACAATAAATACATCATGGTTGGTGTTTTGTTTGCTAGCAGATGTAACTCTGAATAAAGAATATCATAATGATAAAATGTTTTAGATAGGTTCTTGTTTCTAGTGCAAAGCTGAATGTAGAGAGTCTGTCTGTGTATCTAAATTATATTTTTTTTATTAAATTTAATACCAGCTAGTATCCTTTTAACTGCAGACTGTTGATCAGAATTAACTCTGTCAGAATTAAATTGCGCTTTAATTTTGTGTTTTTAGGCAAAATGAAATATACACAATTTTTATTTCTTGCAAGTAGAGAATATCTTGGTTAGTTTTTTCAGAATAAATATCTTTGGTCATCTGTTACATGGACTTGCAAAAAATGGGATCAGTCAACTTTGAATTCTGCTTAATCATAAAACTCTCTAAAACACAGTCACTATCAGGAACCTTAATTTTCACTTTAATTCTGCATATTTTAATGTTGATTGCATTTATTTTAATGTTGATTGCATTTATTTTAATGTGATCATTTTGCAGTTATTATTATAATAATGATTAATTTCTCATCTCTTTGGCATTTTCCTCTTTCCAGCTTAGATCGTCTCCTTTTCTCTTACTAAAAGTTCATTCTGATTTACTTAACTTGCAATTTCATAGCTTTACTGGAAATGTATTGTAATCTGTTTACTGTAATCAAATTTGTTCTTCATAATAATTTTGATGGGATAAAATCACTCTCTGAAAGCAAAGCAAAGTGATCTACCTACTTTTTCAAGGAGCTTTGGTATAACTTACCCTAGTGCATTATTTAGAACATACATATAAGAAAGTTAGATGATGATGAATATATGAAAAGACCATTATTTGTAGGTAGATTTTTGCAGGTTGTTCAAAGTTCACTTGCATGTTAAATTAGCAAATTTGGGTCAAAACAATCAAACATGCAGACTGAGTCTTACATGGGTAACTTCACACTTTTGAGAGCAATTTTTTTTTTACATGATTTTTTCACATGGTGTTCTTTCACATTATACTTTCACATGGTGTTCTTTCACATTATATTTTCAAATGTTGGAACCAGGACTTTTCTAAATCTTAATGCATGTGAAACTCTCAGATGCAGGTTCATCACACACCTTGAATCACATTTCTTAAATTTTAAAAGTGTTTCACATGTGGGCCAGATGGGATTCTTCTTATACTGCCTAGAATCCCAGGTGGGAGGTGGGATCCCTGTCAGGATCACCTTAAGTCCCAGATGGGATCTCTCTTATCCTTCCTGGGATCCCAGGTGGGATAACCTTGAGTCCCAGGTGGGATAGATGGGATGCCACCTGTATTGTTGGGATCCTGCCATTCCCACCTGGGATCCCAGATGGGATTGGCAGGATCCCGCCTAAATCACTGCTGACTTTTTACCTGGGTTGTGACAGGCTCTTAGCCAATGAAAAAATGTGGTATGCAGATAAAGTTTAAAAATTGACAGAAATTGGTACATTTTCTATATGCTTATTATTTGTGATTTTTTTGCAGAGTTGTGCAGCTTCTCAGCAGGACAAGCAATCTCCTGGCTCAATTACAGGTAACTCCTGAATTTTGGGTTAATTGTACTCTCAAACTTGAGGCAGCTAAATCTTTTTATCTAGTACACATAATAAAATAGTAGAGTTACATAAAATAATTTTGTGACTCAAATCTGAGAAGGGCTAGTGAGGCATTTACACAATGCACTGATGATTTTAGTCCCCAATGACAAGGTATTTGTTAGTCTTGCAAAAGACATTGATGGACACCTCAAAGATATTACAGTAAAAGCCTGCGGACAAGCTGCACTTTTTTTTCCAAAAATTGTCACTAGAAATAGGGGGTGCGGCGTATCTGCGGGAATATTTGAAAAAGGTGTTGTGAATGTCCATTTTCGCATCCGATCGAATGCCTGGTTACTAAGCTTTGAATGTTCTCCTCACGTTCTGTTGTCATGCAAAATCTATGAAAAAACTGTGTTGAATGAAGAAATTCCTGTCAACAAATACCAGAAAAAGACCAATCTTATGTCAAAGTAGGTAGATACGATGTTCATTATACTAAAGTGCTAAAATTGCGGGTAACACTTTGAAGTATTTTCTGCTGCAATATTAATATTGAGTTTACATTTGATGAACAGTGGAGGAAGAAGACTTCTCAAGACCTGACTTTGGATTTCTTTTGATTTCTATCAAAAAACTTTTTTTCCAAAATTTGAGCTGCTAAATTGAGGATGCAGCTTATCTGCGGGTGCAGCTTATCCGCAGGCTTTTATGGTAATGCCCAAGAACATGAACTCTATAATAATTATTATTGTCACTCAGGAGGTCACAGAGAAAATATGAACTGATAAAAAAATTAAAGCTAAACAGTCTGAACAATCAAACAAACTTGCAAGGGGGCAAGCCAAAATTCATATTGTAGCCTGCAAAATGTGCTTTAATGCCCAAAAGATTGATACTAATTATGTATTATTTTGAATCTAAAATAAATTTTCCTTTGCAGATACCTCAGCAACTAAAAAAAGGTCAACCAGTCAAGGTGTAAATCCTTTGCCACGCACAAAAACAACAGCTATTACAAAGCCATTATCTCAAAAGCCTGTGAAAGAACCAAACAACAAAAAGAAAAGTGAAATTAAAAAAGAGAATAGTTATGATGCCAGTGATAGTGACTCTGAGAATGGCAGCATAGATCGACTCAACACTGATGGTGACTTTGGCTATGAGACTGGTTCCCTTGACGACAGTGATGTATCAACAGGGGAGTTGCTTAGTCCATCAGCCAGAGATGAGAATAAGACTATTTTAACAACTGACCAAAGTAGAAAGACTGGTTATTTATATGCTGAAGTTGAATTTGGACAAGTTTTGGCATCAAAGGAAGGAGATGTGGCTGCAAAGAATTCAGAGAAATTTGATTCAGGAGGGGGGGAGTTAGTTGTAGTGGACAGCAGTGCAATTAGTGATCACAAATCTTACACTTATGCAGGAGATGAGTTCCGACCATTGATTGTGACAGAACAAGGGGGAATCTCTGCCCCTGTTGAGGCAAAGAAGAGCTCTAAGAGCTCTCGAGATGAAAATAGCAATGGTGACAGGCAAAGTGCTGGGGGCAGAAAAAAAATGGTAATGGAATATGAAGAGGTTGAGGTCATTGATGGTGGTTATGACAGAACAAACATAAAAGTGACATCCGCCAATCAAAGGAATACGGCAGAGACTGACAACTCACATACTTTGGGTCCATTAAATGATGTTTATGCTGTAGTGCAGAAAAAGCCAAAGGAAACTGATTGTAATGATAGTGGAGGACAGAAACAAAATAGTTCAACACAGAGGCCTACTCTTGAGCTGGGTGATGTTGCCCCATCTATCCCAGGTGGACGGAAAGACTCCAGTATGTATGAAGCTATAACTGGAGAGCTTCAGAATATGATTATGGCTTGTGATGAGGTGTCTCTAGATCAGATGTCATCCAGGACTAGTGTTGATGAGAGAAAAAGTTCTTCAGGAGATAGGAAGGTTCCACCGCCTATTCCAAAACCTTATTCAGGACCTGGCCTGAACTCTCAAGCATCAAAGGAACCAGTAATGAAAGAACTGTCAGAAAATTCTGATAGAGGTACAGTGTTAAAGTATTTTAATGAGAGAATTCTAGATATGAGAAGCAGAAACCTTTGGTTTGTTTTTGGCTTAAGGAAAATATATAGTTATCTTGAATTTTGTTGTTCTGATATCGTGGCCAGCTTGGAAGGTGGACAGCAAAAGGTATTAAGATGTATCTGAAATTCTGAGAGCCATGTTTCATAGACATCTCTGGTTTTATTGTTTTGTTTTTTTTGTTTTTTTTGTTTTGTTTTATCTGTATGGTTATATTTTCAGTTACTGTTGGTAGTCGTTTACAGTTAAACACAATTGAGCTATCAAACACAATCATTTGCTCCGACGAAGGGCTAACACTCGAAACGTCAGCTTTTGTAATCATTACAATGGCCAATTTACCATTTCAACTTTGTTGATATATCCAAATTACAACTGAGCTATGCCTAAACTGGCAGATAAGTCTTTTGTGTAGTATGATTATCAACTGTAAGAGAAATCCTTGCTCCTTGGTAATTGTTAACTCTGATAAGACTTCTGTTCAGTCACCGTCACCATTAACACAATCTCCTCTCAGGACTGAGTGGCAGTGGGGGCAGGGTCTAGAGGGTGTCAACCCCCTTCCCCCCCCCCCCCCCATACAACCTGTGGGTTTTTAAACCACTTTTCTGAAACTCAGATTCTTCCAATAACAGTGTATCACCACACAACTTGAATTTTTCAAAACTTATCTTGAGCGATCTCTTAGCTCTTTTACGTGCAGGTTCTATTGTAGGAAAAAAATCCATCTTTTCCCAAATCGTAGTCTAGACCCCCTCTTCCCTCATAAAAACCCCTAGAACTGCCCTTAGAATGGACTTCTCTCACTGGATGGTCAGATTCCATAATCAGTTTGACATATTAGTCAGATGTGCCTGTCTTTCTAGCAGGCATATTATTTGACAAATGATTTTTGAATTTGGTGATTTCCAACTGTGGTGATTGGTGGTTGAAGCCCCCACAAAGATTTGGAACCCCCCCTCCCCCATACTTTTCTTTGAGGGAACAGAGAGAGAGAGCCTGAGAGTGAGACAAGAGATAGAGAGCCTGGGAGTGAGGTTGGATCTCCTAGTAACAAGAGAGATAGAGAGCCTGGGAGTAAGGTTGGATCTCCTAGTAACAAGAGAGATAGAGAGCCTGGGAGTGAGGTTAAGATCTCCAAGGAGTAAGAGAGAGAGAGAGAGAGAGAGAGAGAGAGAGCCTAGTGGCAAGGATGGGATCAAATGAATTAGAGCATCAGGAAGGTTTTGGTGAGAATGAAAAGCCAACGAAGGGGAAGGGGGTTTGGCAAATGCTTTGTGTCTTCCCCCAGCTTTTCCCTAATCTTACCAATCCACCACAGTGTCTTCAACACTCTTTTAGAATCTTGAGGACTTGCCTGCCAGACAAAGTGTTTATTATTTGCTCTCTGTGATCAGTCTGGCTCATCATTTGGAGGCACATTTAATTTTATGATTCTAGGCGTACATGACACCTGATTTCTTGAAAATGAAATATTTTGTTACATGTTCATGTTGATTTTTATGTGTGGTCCACAGAACCTGCAGAGGTTCCATCACAGCCAGTTTACGCTGTTGTCCAGAAGAAACAAAACGAAAAATTGAATGATAAATCCTCAGAAGAAATCAGTGACACAACACCTGCAGGTAATGTCTTGATTTATTTTCTTAAGTGCCCCAACTGTTGTGTAAACCATCTACTTTAGATTTATTGTGTTGTGGAAAAATATCAAATCTGGCATTAAAACACAATGAAATGTAGACAGGAGATGAAGGTGTAGGTTATGTCTTGAAAAGAGTATTTGTAAACTATAATAATAGGTTCAGTGATTGTTGAAAAGAGATCTTTTAAATTTTCTTTTTCATTTTAATGAACGATGAAAGAGATGAGCAGTCTATAGTCTTGGGAATAAGAGGATTGAAACTTATCCTCCTTCTCCTCCCTCTCCCTTTCCCCACCCCCTCCCTCTTCCCCTCCCCCTTTCCCTCCAATTCCCCTCCCCTTTCCCTTCCTGTTCCCCTCCTTTTTTCCCTCCTGTTCCTTTTCCCCTCCCCTTCCCC